TGAGTTCTAGTCCCGTCTTAGACATGAAATCCAGTTGGTGGCAGAATAATAATTTTCTAGATCCATTTTTGTGGGGATTAGAAGAGCATCCAGAAGCCATCTCATTTTACCTTCTGCTCAGGACAGAATCCAGGCGTGTGTCTTAAACTTCAGCACCAAGGAAAGCTCACGACATTGTGTGGTAAGAGAATAATAAGAGTTGGAAGGGACCTCAAGAGTCCAATCTTCTAGTCCAACCCCCTGTTCAAGCAGGAGACTCTCTACCATTTCAGACAAAGGGCTATTCAGTCTCTTCTTAAAAGTCTTAAGTGATAGAACATTCACAACTTCTGGAGTCAAGTTGTTCCACTGGTTAATTGCTCTCATTGTCAGGAAATTTCTCCTCTCCATTGCTTCTTGTCCTGCCTTCAGGAGAATAGCTTGACTCCCTCTTCTTTCTGTCAGCCCCTGAGATATTGGAAGAATGCTATCATGTCTCCCCTAGTTCTTCTTTTCATTAAACTAGACATACCCAGTTCCTGCAACTGTTCCTCATATGTTTTAGCCTCCAGTCCCCTAATCCTCTTTGTTGCTCTTCTCTGCACTCTTTCCAGAGTCTCCACATCTTTTCTACATCATGGCAACCAAAACTGAATGCCGTATTCCAAGTGTGGCCTTACCAAGGCATTATAAAGTGGCATTAACACTTCACGTGATCTTGATTCTATCCCTCTGTTGATGCAGCCCATTTCTCAAGATTGGGGATTTTTAAGGCACGTGGACTTCAATTCATATACAACTCGTCTGCCTGGAACCCACACTGTACATCGGACATTAACACAATTGAGGGGATCCAGGGGCACTTCACGAGAAGAGTCCTCCACTCCTCTACTCACAATGGAATCCCTTACGCCACCAGGCTCAAAATTTTGGGCTTGGACAACCTGGAGGTACGCTGCCTACAGTCCGATCTAAGCATAGCACACAAAATTGTCTGCTACAACGTCCTACGTGTCAACGACTCCTTCGGCTTCAACTGCAATAATACTTGGGCAAACAATCGATACAAACTCAAGGTAAGTTTGCTCCAAACTCGATTGCAGAAAATACGACTTCAGCAACAGAGGGGTCAACGCCTGGAATCCTCAACCTGACTCGGTTGTTACATCCTCAAACCTCCCACAGCTTCAACCTTTAACCGTGGACCTCACCCCATTCCTAAGAGGTCCGTAAAGGGGGCATATGCATAAGCGCACCAGCGTGCCTCCTGTCCCTGTCCTCCTGTCCCCATTGATCTGTATTTACTTCCTTTCTTTGTGTTTATGTTCATATCTATACTTGTTACCTTGTACATGTTTGACATACAAATAACATGGTGGATGGTGAATGGCCCCTCCCATAGGACGTAAAAGAGGAGCGAAAGTGGAGGGGGGCTTTTGAAGGGAAACCAATTTCATTTGTTCGGTCGTTAGATTCGTTTCAGGAGTGTGAAGATCTGTCCGTGAATCTCCGAGACTCTGTGCCAAAATCTTTCCTTGCAAATGCACCTCATTTGGAAAACATTTCCATGGCAGCTTTCCAAGATAGATAAGGTCGGTGGTTCTAAATATTCCTTTGAAAGACTGCTTGCCAGGCCTTGGCTGAATGGGAATGGGAGAAATTCACCTTCGTTTCATAAACGGGGTTTTGCTGGGATTAGGACTCTGCCTTTGTGCTTTCTGGGGAAGCCTTGGTCAGAACTACCGTTGGATGGGTGTAAGGAAAACAACCTTGGGGAGGGAGGTTACCAGATTGACAGATGGTTTACGCGGGGCAGGGGAGGAACGGCAGAGACTGCGAGAGAAGCCATTACCGTCGCGAAGGCAGCCTATCCTGTACATCATAGGCATCTTGATGACGAAGGCGAAGAGGTCGTCGATGAAGGTGTTGAGGGCCTTGTAGGTGAGCATCCTCCAAGGTAGGTGAGCCACCGACTTCAGCTTGTAGTTGATGAAGAGCTGAGGCGTCATGGTGATGAAGCCTGGGAGGGCGAGAAGAGACCAGCGTCCTCAACTTACAACCGCAACGGAGCCCAACATTTACACCTTGTTAAGTGAACTCCCTGGTTGAGCGGGTTTTACGACCCTTTCTCCCCCAGTCGTTAAGCCAATCCCTGCAGGGGTTTACGCGAGCGGCAAGATTTGTTCAGTCACTTTTTTTTAGGGCTGCTGTAACTCTGAACAGCCACTAACTGAGCCGTTGTAAGTCAAGGGCAGCCTGTCCTGTAAAACTGGAGAGGGGGAAAATGCCACTGAATGGGCTGAGATGGAAAGGGAAGGATTCTTTTATCTAAAGAGCTGTGGTGGCGCAGTGGTTATAATGCAGCACGGCAGGCTAACTCTGCCCACAGCCAGCAGTTCGATCCTGACTATCTTTAAGGTTGGCTCATCCTTCCATCATTCCGAGGTGGGTCAAATGAGGACACACCAGATTGTTGGGGGCAAGAGGCTGACTCTGTAAACCGCTTCAAGAGGGCTGTAAAAACAATGTGAAGTAGTATATACGTAAGTGCTATTGCTATACTGGCTGTGATGGCGCAGTGGTTAGAATGTAGCATTGTAGGCCAACTCTGCCCACTGCCAGGAGTTCGAGTCTGGAAGGGCTCAGAGTTGACTCAGCCTTCCGTCCTTCCAAGGTTGGTCAAATGAGGACCCAGATTGTTGGGGGGCAAGAGGCTGAGTCTGAAAACCGCTTAGAGAGGGCTCTTAACGCACTATAAAGCGGTATATAAGTGCTATTGTTCTTCCTTTTTCCCTTCCTTTCTTCCGCCCTTCATTGGTGCATAGTGGTTAGAATGCAGCATTGAAGGCTGTCTCTGCCCAATGCCAGGAGTTCGATCCTGGAAGGGCTCGGGGTTGACTCAGCCTTCTGCCCTTCCGAGGTGGGTAAAATGAGGACACACCAGATTGTTGGGGGGGCAAGAGGCTGACTCTGTGAACCGCTTAGAGAGGGCTGTAAAAGCACTGTGAAGCAGTATATAAGTCTAAGTGCTATTGCTATTTAGAGTACCTCAAAGGATTGGCAGGTGGGAAGCCAGGCCCGGGAGGGTGGGGGAAGCTGTCAGGGGTCACCCACCCACCACTAACTCACCAAAGGTCAGCAGGAAACCGTACAGCATGCTCAGAATCCAGGAATACCAGCCCTTGTGTTCCATGTAGAGCAGGCTGTATACGGCGTAACAACCCAGCAGGGGGAAAAGGATCCAGGAAAGGTATCGAAAGGCCATCTGTGAAGGCAAAGGAGGGTTGAGAACAGGCTGGAGGGGAAAAAAGAAACAAGCGTACCAGCATTTCGGGAGAGGGGAACCCACCCAGGGCCGCCTAGGGACTAGCTGCATGAATCAAGTGTTTGTTAACAGGCAACATCCAGCCTAGCATTTCTCCATCTTGACAGAACTGGGAGGACGGGTGGACTTCGACTCCCAGGGTTGGCTGGGGAATTCTGGGAGTTGGGGAGATTCATGGGGGTCCCAAAGGTGCTTTTTTTTCTTCGTTTCCCCCCCGAAGACGTTTCGCTTCTCATCCAAGAAGCTTCTTCAGTTCTTGGATGAGAAGCGAAAATGTCTTTAGAGGGGGGAAAAAAGTATCCTATTTTTTTTTTTTTGCAAATTTTTTATTTTATTTTTAAAAATAAAAAAAACAACATAAAAAAATTCTCACCCATTTACATACAGAATGTCGTTTGGCTAGAAGTGTTTTTGCATCCATATTCTCAATTACATTTACAATCGCAGGTTTTCCATCTAATATAACTAAATACCTCACTTTCATTCTATAACGTATATTCAATTACGATTAATATTTTTCTTTTCTTTTCAATAAATTCCCTTACATTCTTGATTGTCTGTTTAATAACAATATACCTTGTCCCTTCCAACTCTGCTATTGTATGGTATTGTATTGTATTGTAAGGACAAATGGCTATCCAACATCTTCTTAAAGACTTCCAGTGTTAGGGCCTTCACAACTTCTGGAGGCAACTTCTGTTCCACTGATTAATTGTTCTAACTGTCAGGAAATTCCTCCTTACTTCTAAGTTGCTTCTCTCCTTGATTAGTTTCCACCCATTGCTTGATGAGAGACTGGAAGGGGAAATACCAGCTATCCTGAATACCTGGGAAGGGCTCACACCCGTGACAGCTTGAACTTACATCATCGTAGATTTTGGTCGACGNACATACATACATACATACATACATATGTATATATATATGTATATATATGTATATATATATATATGAATGGTTTCGGAGAGGTGGTTGAAATGTTCATCCTGCTCGACTTACGACAATTGAGCCCAACGTTTCTGTGGCTAAGTGAGACATTTATTCAGGGAGATTCGCCCCACTTGTACGACCTTCCTTGCCACAATTGTTAAGAGAATCACGGCGGTTGTTAATCGTTGTCAAGTGGGTGGTTTTTCTTGAAGACGTTTCGTGACCCAGCTAGGTAACGCCATCAGTGCTGGAAGAGAGTGGTGGGCAGGGTTGTCGTCTGATTATTATATACAGAGAGTTTGCCCTCTCGATGTGGGCGGGAGCAGTCTTATGGTGGTTCCCCAATTAGGCCATGGTTTATTGCTGGCTTGTTTGTCTGGATTGGTAGTTCCTGTTTATTTGATGATTGGCCTGGAGTTAACTTTGGTTACTCCAGGAATTAGCAATGCTGACAAACAAGCTAACAACGGTCTAATCAAGGAACCATCGAAAGATTACGTCTACCAGCATTTACATATTATTTGCATACAGGTAGTCCTCGACTTACAACCGTTCACTTAGGGACTGTTCAAAGTTACGACACTGGGGAAAAAGTGACTGGTGACCATTTCCCACACTTAAGTCCTTTGCAGCTTTCCATGGTTTACATTCCAATGCGTGACAACTGACTCATATTTATGACGGTTTCAGTGTTCCGGGATCACCATTTTCCAGCCTTCCTATGAGCAAAGCCAAGGGGGAAAAAGACAGATTCACTTAATCACCGTGCGACTAAATGAACTGCAGTGATTCACTTAACAACGGTGGCCAGGAAAGTCGTCAAACGGGGCAAAGCTCACTTAACAGATTTTGTCACTTTGTGGGTGTAGGTTGAGGATACAAACAGAAACAACCCCCCCATCGTCTTCCAACACTGATGATGTTACACAGTTGGGTCAAGAAACGTCTGCAAGGGCCCCAGAAATCTCAATGCAGTTAGTCCTCGACTTATGACCAGTTGCTTAGGAACCATTCAAAGTTACTGCTAACCTCTCCAGGGTTATTTAATGACCTGGATTTGGAGTTCTGACGCCCCCATACCCCGCTTCATCATGAGATCGCATTTTGGGCGCCAAGGGACTGGCCTCCCATTTGCAGCCGTTCATGTGACTCCTATTTAAAATGTCTTTTTCTCTTACTTTACTTTCTGCTTCCAGCCAAAACTGGCCACTGCGGAGAATAATTTCACTTGCAATACAATAGCAGAGTTGGAAGGGACCTTGGAGGTCTTCTAGTCCAACCCCCTGCTTAGGCAATAAACCCAAATACCGTTTCAGACAAATGGCTATCCAGCATCTTCTTAAAGACTTCCAGTGTTGGGGCATTCGTAACTTCTACAATACAATACAATAGAATACAATACAATAGCAGAGTTGGAAGGGNCACACAATTTGGTACTTGGGAAGTTACTGTGGGGCACATGATGCCTCAATTCCCCCCCTGCCCCCCCCCCCAACAAATCTATTTCAATCTTCATGCCTAATTCAAGCTAAATTCTGGAATGGAAACTGGAGTGAGTAACTCCGGGCATATTTATCAAACGCAGTGCGCAGCCTGTTAAAATGTGTCCGAGTTTTGTCAAGATTAAATTAATTTATATTTAAACCACTTAAAATCACGGGAAAAAACTGTGGCCCCTGCTCCTTTTCCCCCCCCCCTTCTCCCCTGTGCCAAAATAAAATAAAAGAAAGGAATTGCCAACGGAGTATTTCCATGCTAAACCTTTAAACATCGCCACTAAAAACCGGCGATGCGCATTCCAGAGGCATGACTGCCGGCCGACGAAGGCCAAAATAATTTCCTGCCCCACAACAAAGGGGGTTTCGGAGGATGAGGCAGCTTTTAATCCCCCGGATATTTCGGGGCCCGTCTCTGGCACATGGGAGCATGAGACATCTCCGGACTCCCAATTTCCAAAGTATGCATAAACCAGGCGCTCCAGGAATGGCTGTGCCTTATGCTGCCCGGCGGGGCGAATCATCTGGAATTAGGCCCAGAGTTTAAGACTCCGCCATGCGTTCTGCAGACTCCCACCGACCGACGCTCCATGTGCTGGCACCGCTTTGGGGCAACGGATCGAGGAAAATCGGGGAGCCCGGAAAGGGATGAGTTGTGAGCGGGGGGAAAATGAACAAACCGTGAGAAGAGACGCCTTGTGCAGCAAAATTCAGATTTTTTCCTCCCCGAGAGACGCAGAGAAGGTGGTGAACAAATTTCCCCCGTTTTCCCTGCAAATAAGACCACCCTGGACAATGAGTTCAAACGGGCTTTTGCGCCCATGCGGTAAAATCAGCCCTCCCCGAAAACAGGGCAACAGAGCAGCAGCCCTGGGGTGACCATGCTCCCCGCCTCCTGCACCNCTCTGCTATTGTATGGTATTGTATTGTATTGTAAGGACAAATGGCTATCCAACATCTTCTTAAAGACTTCCAGTGTTAGGGCCTTCACAACTTCTGGAGGCAACTTCTGTTCCACTGATTAATTGTTCTAACTGTCAGGAAATTCCTCCTTACTTCTAAGTTGCTTCTCTCCTTGATTAGTTTCCACCCATTGCTTGATGAGAGACTGGAAGGGGAAATACCAGCTATCCTGAATACCTGGGAAGGGCTCACACCCGTGACAGCTTGAACTTACATCATCGTAGATTTTGGTCGACGATTCAATGTACGTCGATTTGTCCTTGAACGTCAAGCGTGGGAAAATCCCGGCAATTTTGTTCTCGCGATCCAGCTGTTTGGCAGCATCAGCAAAAATGGGACGGAAGAGAATGAAGGGAGGGTTAGATTTTTGAGACATCGGACTGGTGGCACAGCCGCATTCCCTTCCCAGATACACACCCCCCCCCCCCCAGAGGGCACTGAGGCTACAATTCCCATCATCCCCAATCATCATATGCCCATGATGGGCTGGGAAAGGATTGACTGTAACGAGGAGACGGTTGGGAAAGTCGGTCTTACAAATAACTCAAGGTGGTGAACACATCTAATACTTCTTCCTACTCCTGTTTTCCCCATAACAACAACCCTGTGAGGTGACTTGGACTGACAGTGAGGGATTAGCCCAAAGTCCCCCGGCTGGCTTTCATGCCTAAGGTGGGACTAGAACTCACTCTCACCTGGTGATATAGCCCAAATCACCCAGCCAGCTTTTATGCTTAAGGCAGGATTAGAACTCACCATCACCTGGTGATTCGCCCAGCTGGATTCTGTGCCTGACAGGACTAGAACTCCCAGTCTCCTGGGGATTAACATAAAGTCACCCAGCCAGCTTCCATGGTTAAGACAGGACTAGAACTCACCATCTCTTGGTGATTGGCCCAGCTGACCTCTGTGCCTAAGACAGGACTAGAACTCCCAGTCTCCTGATGACTGACTTAAAGTCATCCAGCCAGCTTCCATGCTTAAGGCAGGATTAGAACTCACCATCGCCTGGTGATTCGCCCAGCTGGCTTTTGTGCCTAAGACAGGACTAGAACTCCCAGTCTCCTGGGGATTGACCTAAAGTCACCCAGCCAGCTTCCATGCTTAAGACAGGACTAGAACTCACCATCTCTTAGTGATTGGCCCAGCTGACCTCTGTGGCTAAGATGGAACTAGAACTCCCAGTCTCCTGGTGATTGACCTAAAGTCACCCAGCCAGCTTTCATGCTTAAGGCAGGATTAGAACTCACCATCGCCTGGTGATTCGCCCATCTGGCTTCTGTGCCTAAGATGGAACTAGAACTCCCGGTCTCCTGGCGACTGACCTAAAGTCACACAACTGGCTTTCAGGCCTAAGGCAGGAGTCGAACTCACGGTCCCCTGCTTTCTAGCCTAGTGCCTTAACTACTAAACCAAACTGTCTCAATTCTTCCCCTTGTGATGCAGTGATATAGTGACGTGTCCCCTTCTCACCCGGACATCCATCACTTTTGTGATCTTCCAGAGGTCAATGAGGAGACCGAAGAAGACGCTGACTTGCACCACGAAGTTTGTTTCGTTGTCCAGGATGTAGAGGAGGACCACGAGGGACTGGAACACCCCGAAAAAGACCGATCGAACCGAAAGCCCTTCCAGGGACTGCCGGCTGTTCCAGAACTGAATATCTAAGAGGAACACAAGTGAGTTTGGAAAAGGAAGAGATCCCGCTACACACCCATTGCTCCGCAGACAGGGGGGGTCCTTTCGACTACAACAGTCTTTCTCAACCGTGGCGACTTTTAAGTCCTGTGGACTTCAACTCCCAGAATTCCACAACTGGAGAATTATGGAGGGGGGGGGGTGTGTTTGTTAGTCCACACCTCTTCAAGTTTGCCAAAGCCGAGAACTTACCGTTCTTGAAAGCGAGGAACTCAAAAACGCTGTGCACAATGGAAACGACGATCGTCAGAGCCAGCAAATAAGGGTTCGTTTCCAGCAAAGCCACCTAGAAGAAAAATAAACCAAAAATAAACCAACATGAGAAACAACAACATAGACCTACCCCCCCCCCCCAAAAAAAAATCAGTAACAAGGCAAGAGCATCAAATGGACTCAAGACTCGCACCCGGATCCCCAGGCCGGAGGACAATCCCCTGTCCTACTTTTGATTTATTTATTCTTTTGTGTTTTGCCTGCATTATTTTTACAAACAAGTCAAAGGGGAGGGGGGAATATATCCAAGGCATCTTCCTCTTCTTATTTTCCTCACAACCCTGTGAAGAACCGTGTGCTGGGCTGAGAGAGAAAGAATTGTCCAAAGTCACTCATGCCTAAGTTGAGACTAGAACTCACTGTCTCCTGGTGATTGGCCTCAAATCACCCAGCCTGCTTTCATGCCTAGAGCAGAACTGCCGATTACCTCCCTTCGACCAACTAGATCGCACAGACTGGGCCTCCTCCGAATTCCATCTGCCAGTCAATGTCGACTGGCGACTACACGGAGGAGAGCCTTTTCTGTTGCAGCTCCGACCCTGTGGAACGATCTCCCCGTTGAGATCCGTACCCTCACACCGTCCAGGCCTTCCGCACGGCCCTTAAGACCTGGCTCTCCCAGCAGGCCTGGAGATAGATATCCAAGTTTCCCTCCCGAGTGTTGATTGCTGAATGAAAGTTGTGTTTTATTATATTT